CTTTAATAACCATAAAAAGTTGAAGGGGAGTTAAGCTTACACATTTTCGTCCTGTTTTTTTTTTCACTAGAGCTGCCTGGGGGAGTAATAAATATTGATTCCGTGTTTATATTTTTGAGGAAATTTGGGGAGGAGGGGTAAAGACATGAACTTTTTCGACAATATTTTGAACTTATCTTTTTGAAGAACCATACGACGCTTGAAGGTTTTCACAGCCCCCAACCCGGAGAACAAAACGTGACAGGCGGAAGTTGGGTCTGTTGTAGCTCCGCTGTAGATTTCTAACGTACATTTGGAGCTGTCGAGGTAGTATGTTGTTTATGCTAGTTGTTGTTGAAAGCCTATGAGCTTTAAGGGACAGTATTCTCAGGGATATGGAAATACACAGAAGAAAAAAAAAATCAACGGAGAAAATTCTCACTATGACACCTTCTAACCGCTCTGTTATCGACTATAATCCCGGTTGAAGACCGAAAGCTCAGAAGAGCGCTAGAATAGATCCATTGTTGGTTTCAACACTGTATATCTCGTAAGTTTGCTTTTTAGCAACTCCGAACGTAAATCCCATCCCCAGTTGGATGAACCAAGTAAAAGATGTGATATGATTAATCTTTATTGTCCAGACACTGGCATTTTATTGTTTTGAAGTTTACACACACACACACACACACACACACACACACACACACACACACACACTCACACAAGCACACATACGCACACACGCACACACACGCACACACACGCACACGCACATACACACACGCATAGAGACAGACGCACGTGTAAACACACGCAAACTCGTCCATTGGTGACCAGCATACTCACGTAATAATATGCTCTCACATTTGCAAAACGTTACTGTATGAACAGCATTTACTGTTGGTTGTTTAGATCGGAAACTATCACTAGCACGAGGGAATCATGTTTGAGGCAAACGCCACATACCATTGTGTCTACTGCCTCATAGGTTTGTTTGTTGTTGTTTTTTTCCTCAAAGGACAAGCTACCCCCCTCAAATCAAGATAATTTTCTAAGACTGCGTATGTGTATATATTTATGAGGCGAGGCAACATCTATTTACATGTAAATGTAGTTTGTGTTGGTAAATGTTTTACGGCGGACGCAACTGCATAAGGTCATTTGAACGTGCGAGACACAAGGAACATTTTTAATGTAAATGTAGGCGGTAGATTGTCCCGTTTTTGTTTCCGTAAAAAGGCCAAAACAATTTACCGTTCCACTTTAGGAAAATATTCTTGCATTCCGATTTTTTAACAGAATAATTTAGGGAGAAGTAAACGAATACTCTCTCTCTCTCTCTCTCTCTCTCTCTCTCTCT